TAAATCATATCATAAAATCATACGATGAGCGAAATTTTTTAGACTGGAGTTACGGTACTAGGCTTTATAAACGCCCGAGGGGTAATTTCGAATTACAACCTGAATTAAGCTTAATTCGGATTATATATAATTAGTAAGTTATTAACTACAATTGACATCTGAAGAATAAATAATAAAGAGCAAAAAACTTGCATTTTAGATAGAAATAAACTTGAGATGGCCAAAAATAAAAATTTACATAATGCTAGGTCTTCAAAAATGTACGTTAACAGTACTTAATTTTTATACTACTGTAATACAGTAATATTGACTTTGATTATCTAAGTGTTATCCAGGTGATAGAATAATCATGCATACAATTGCAAAATGCATGCAAGTGTAACAAAGAAAGGTCTAATTTTGGCTGTTATCTCCATGTTCACAAAGAAAAAGGCGGGGAAATAAGCAGCGGCAACGAATATTGAGCTCGTTAACTTTGTATAGTTGAGCATTAGAGAAACATATGAAACTGCGTCATTGTATGCTAATACCAGATTTATACAAGAATCAAAGTATGAATGATTATGGAACAGGCTTAGGAGGTTACCCCTATGCAAATCGTTTACAGTTAGGTTTACAACCCCACCTTTCATAACTACTCTATGATTAAATCCCGTTTTCTTTAACTATAAATAGTTTGGAAAGTGACCGTGAGATTCTTATCTTTAATAATATTCCCCGCCATCTTTCCTTTTCTACAATTATATGCTAAAACGACGAGTACTTTTAACATACGTGTTAATCGGCTGTAGAATTTTTTCAGGTTATTATAATCCTGTAATAGTGATGCATCATTAAAAAGTTGATTTATGCTTCCTTTTCTTCATGTTCTTAATAAAAATAAAATGAATTCACTTCATACATTGCTCAATTGATAATTAATTTCTCCTCACTTTTGTGCCATCGTTTCCTATTTACATTGTATAACAAGATGTCCCTGCATTGTTTAAATTGATCAAAATATTAACTGCTAAAATCACAAGCGAACTTCTAATTTACGAAATACTACCAAGATAAATACCATTTCAAGTTTTTTTTTTTTGATATCATTTTCTTTCAGTTCAAGCATATTTGAGTGAGTAACTAAGTGTGTATTATATTGATTCTTTTTTCCTGTTATTTTTATTGATATACATATATATATATATTTTTTTTATACGTACAAGATTATTTTTAAAGAGAAAAAGCCACCTTTCCTTTTGAAATTATTTCATTAAAAAAAAAAAGCATGCAGGATGCTGCGTTTTTATAAGATTATAACCAATTCATAAAAGGGTAAAATTAAGTAGATTAGATATAAATTCGGTATTTTTCTTTTGATTTCTGGTACGATTAGGTTTAATATGCGGGGTCATGCATTTTAATCGGTCATTAAGGTTTCTTATGAGCAGGAATCAGATAGAACACAATAAAAAACTTGATCGAACTTGTATTTCCGTGATTCTGCAACTCACATGTGCAAATCATGATCT